ACATCTTTTATCTCACTGATGTTCAGTGCTACAATCCAGATTCCACCAGAGTACATGCAGTGACTACTTTTAACTTCGGGATATTTGGCTGAAGCCTTTACCTTTCCATCAACATCCCCTATAACCCCTTCTCCCCAAAAATTTTGTGCCATGAGATGAACTTCTTATAATAATTTTCCTCTGTTAGAGTTGGAGCTTGATGATAAGGGCTGTTTTAGCAGCAATCTTTGGGTTGAAAGCTTGGGTAGATACTACAGCAATTTATGGATGATTTATTATACTTTAGGCAGCTGCACTGTATTTGGCTTGGCTTAGCTTGACTTGGGTAAATCCACCAGTATTTTCTGTGTTCTGTGAAATAATTGCTGTAAAATGGGAAATTTCAGCTTTTCAGAATTTGGGTTTTGTCGCAACAAAACAATGTCTCCCTACCAGCATTGTCACCGCTGGCTCAATGGTTCCATTGCTGGCAGTTGCCTCCTGCTTTTGTTATAGAAAGATAAAGGATCCCAAAGGAAAAGTTTTGCTCTGGTTTATAGAATTGGTCCCATTTCAGAACAAAGCTCTTATCGTTCCAGAGCAGTTAAGGCCATTGCTAGGCAGAATTTCACAAATTTCCAGATCTGAAACTTTCTTTGATGTATGAGTTATGGGAGTTGGTGAGCCCAGAAAATCACACAGGCTGGTGCTGATGTGGAATAAGTTAGGAGAAAAACCTTGGTATTTTGTGAAAATGTTGTTGACAAATCATTAGTTTGAGCTTCAAAAGATGCTGGGATAAAAATGGAAATTTTTTGGATGTTTCATGGAGGCAAAAAAAAAAAAAACATATTGGCTCGTCCTACATCTTATATGGCCTGAATCAGAAATGGCCAAATGTCAGGAGTTTGCAGCTGCGATACAGGAATTTCATTTATCATCAAAAAGAGAAAGAGCTCCTTCATGCTGAGATCAGAACTGGGCTAACTACACCATTTCCTTGTCCAGCCTTCGTTAGGGTGTTCCAGCGGCTGGGAGCAATGATTTATTCCATCACGTTACCCAAACCCTGGTAAGGACCACGATGGGGCCAGGCCACATGGATTTTTCTTTTTTTTCTTTTTTTTTTTTGTCCTGCACTTGTACGGCATCAGGCCCAAGGGTGTCCTGGCCCAGAGTATTGCAGTGGTAGTCATGATGATGCTGATAATGTTAAAGGAAGTGATCAAGGCAAAGTTTGTACGTAGAGATGATATTTTTTTTTTTTTAAGCTTCCTTATATATTTGATAAATCAGATGGCTTCCAGTGACACGAGCCCCTCTTCAGGTCTGGAATAACAGCACCAGACTTCAAAGCTACATGCAGGATGAGAACACCTGTGCAGAACTTGAGCCTATAGGTCTCGGATCATTTCCAGAATAAAATCTAGTGGGTATTTGTGGGATAGGGATGGTCTTAGTCACAGAGAAAACAGTGATAAGTTAGTCATCTTTTGGGGCAAAGAGAAAGCTAATTACTTCTAAAATATATCTGTATGCGCATGTAGAATGTGTGCATGAGTGTGTATGTGTGGTGTATACAAAAAGAAAAATTTTGATATTATGACCTATAATTATCAATCCCTTATGTGTAACTAATCTATATAACATTTTGCATATAGAATAATACAGTAAGAAACTGGATGATCTCTTAATCTACTTTATACCAGCATTGCCGGTTACGTTTCTGAACTGGTGGAAGACCAAAACGTGTCCAGAAGTGCTGAAAAAGATCAGTGCTTTATTACTTGTTATTAAATAACAGCGTTGTCCCGACTGCCGAGGCTGCCCCAGACAAGGTGCCATCGTTCCACCAGCACCAGCAGAGCTGCTCCAGCCAAGCACTTGGCCCAGTTGGATGCATCCGGAGGTGCCACCACCCTCTCCGAACCAGCGCTGCGATGAGCGCACGCTCCGTAACTCAACACAACTTCAAGAGCAGATGAAGTTAGGTGTCTTGGGGTCCCGGAGTGGCCACCAACCACTCAGTGAACCCACCACTCGTCTCCCAGCCCTGCTTCCCAACGTGTGGGCTGTGACTTGGCTGGATGATCCCCACGTGCCCAAAGTAAGGGCTTTCTTGCTGTGGTGTGTTGATGTAGCACCAAGCACCATGGTAGGAGGGATGCTGCCCACCAGCTGCAGCTCCCCGCGTGTCCACGCCTGGTGAGGAAGGGGATGGGAGGCAAGAGCAAGGCTGGAAGGAGGAGAAGCTCATCCCCTTTCGCCCATGCGTGTGCAGATAGGCGCAGACGAGGAGGTTTCGGACAGCAGCTCCGTCGTGGGGAGGTGGAGTCGGGGACGGGAGCGTGTGTGTGTCTGCGTGCGCCGGGGGCACAGGCAGGGAGCAAAGCAACCGCCCGGAGAAGGTGACTGCAGGAGGGGAGGGGAGAGGGCTACAATTGGTACCAGATGCCCTCAGAAACTAATGACCTGACAAACGCTGTGCTCATAAAACAAATTCTTTAAAAAGGAAGCAAATGGAAATATAAGCTAGTGAAAGAATTTGCAGCAGCTGCCCTGAAACCATTTCTCACTTCATAAACAGGTCTGCATTGAAAAAACAGCCCCTTTCTTCTTGTTCTCCTTTGTGGTCCCCTCCTGTGCCCACCGGCTCTTTCAGGGCTGTGGCCTGCAGGTTTCCACCATGTCTTTGGCTCGGTGGACTTGTCCAGAGTCAACAGCACGTTGCGTTCCCTTAACGTCCATGTCGGCACCGTGTGGGTGTTTTTGTATTTTTGATTTTTGTGTGTGTCTGTGTGTGTCTTTTGTTGGGATTTCTAGCCGTGCATCCTTTGCTGGAGAGGTTGAGCGAACGCAAGGGGCAAAGGCTGCCTCGGCAGCGCACAAAAACCCTCGGCAGCCCCGTGCAAAGAGGCGTTTGGGTACACCTCCCTCCCTCCTCTCCCCAGCTGCCACCTGAAGCTGCAGCACCTCTGCCCCTGCTTCAGGAGGGCTGCTCTTGGGTTGGTTTTGTTTTTTTTTTTTGCACTGGTACCACTTAGTAAAAGATAAAGCCTGACCGCCAGATAACCAGGGCATTTTCTTGTGGGAGGTGTTGTGTCAACCCTGTGTCCTGACCCTATTCCATCCCAGGTAATTAATCTGCTGGCTGCATTTCACTGATGGAGACCACAGCCCCCTGGCCGACACTCCTCTTGGCTGTGGGACTATTTCTGATGCTTAATTAATCAGTACCAAACGGCTGGTCCTTGGTGGGAAGCTGCTGCGGTGAGGAGGGGGCAGTTTATTCCCCAGGGATGGGTGACACAAGCTTTACCGGGACCTCTTGTAACTTGAGGTGCTGCACAGGGGAGGGTAATTCCTCCTTTTAATGCATCTCACCTTGGTGGCCACAGCTGGGTCTCTAGAGCTGGACAGGTGCGTGTTGGGATGATCTGGATCCCAAAGAGCCTGATGTCAATGTGCACAGGCTTGAAATGCTGCGTGAGCCTGGGGGGAGAGCAGAGCTGCTGAAGACCATCAAAGCAGAGTGAGAAGGTGACCAGAGTGGGGTGGAGGAGACAGCTGCAGCATGTTCAGCTTCTCCCTTCCACCACAGGCTGTGTGGACACGAAGCTTGGGCAACTCTGCTGCCAGGTCTGGGGGGGACGCTGTATGTAGTTTGAAGAACATCTCATGGATGGTTCCCTAGTATCTGCAGAGGTTCCTTCTCCAGCTAAACTTTTCCTTGCAGTTGGAGAATCATCTGTGGATTCTCTGATGTCTACTACAGGGTTTGACACACCTGTCGCCTTTCTGTCAGCACAGGCTTTAAAAAGGCCTCTTCATCTTTTTTTTTCCTGACCATCTGTTGCTGAAAATCTCGTCTTATTCTGTGCTAAGGCTGGCTGAAATTGAGTTGTGGATTCAAAAGTTACCAGGAAGGAGAAACACCCAATGTTACTATCTGGGCTTTGTTGCCTTTGGAAAGTGCAGATCTCTTGCTGTCCACTGTCTGTCCCCACGCACTCGTGTCTGAGACACGTGTGAGCAGAGGATGTATGGGAGGACACATGCGAGTGGCTGCGATCACATGTGAGTCTAACGGTGTACTCGCTATGGCACCACAGAGCACAGTTTCAGGAGGTCTCTTGCCACAAGATCTCTGGTGTCCAGTATGACTTGAGCATGTTGGAGATGAGAAATTGTTATGTGGTAGAGACTTCTTTGTGCCAGAGAAGCTGCAGCACTCTCAGGAAGGTGCTGCAATGACTGGTGTTTATTCCAGCATTCAGGAGTGCTGCTTGATAGAACCATCTGATATAAAGTTTGGCCATGGGAGTTGTGGCCATGCTGGATGTGTCACCTGCCTGCCCTCTCCCCATGATTTCCTTCCTCTTGCTCCCTTGGTCCACCCACATCGAGCACCACCAACCCCTTTGGTGTGCAGGCTCTGAGCAATGCAGCCTGTGCACCCTGGGGCAGAGGAGCTGGAGCAGCCCCACCAGAGAGCACGGATTTTGAAAGGAGCATTGTTAGGCCGTGCCTCCTTTCATCAGCATAGAAGGACGTGGTGGTCTGTGGGAAGGTGTGGGCTGAGGCTGGGCCAAGATCCAGCCAAGGCAGAACTGGGAAAAAGTACCCTCCTGGCATCACTTTCAGGAGACTTCAAGCCTGGGAGAAGCTGGGACTGGAAATTTTTTAGGAAAAATTTCTTTACTGAAAGAGTGGTCAGGCCTTGGAAGAGGCTGCCCAGGGAAGTGGTGGAGTCACCATCCCTGGAGGTATTTAAAAGACGTGTAGATGAGGCGCTTAGGGACATGGTTTAGTGGGCATGGTGGTGTTGGGTTGACGGTTGGACTCCATGATCTTAGAGGTCTTTTCCAACCTTAATGATCCTATGACTGAGGGATAAGTGTGCATCTCTGTAGGCATCTGTGACCTGCTGAGCATCCCACGCAGGTGCCATCCAGAGAGCCCCTCCTTGCTGCAGAAGCCCTGGGACCCACTTGCTGATCCTTCCCTCTTCCCCTCCATAGCTGCGTCCACGGTGCCTGTGCAGGATCAGGAAGCTGCACGCGGCCGCTTCTTGCTCACGTTGCCACCCTCAACTGCACCTCCAACAGCCCAAGGCACATGGCGTGCACCGTCACCTGCGAAAAGGGCTTCGTCCTCCGCTCCGGCCATGGGAAGAGCCTGGGTTCCATGCAGGTGAGTGGACCTCAGGGTGGGGGTGACCTCACAGCCCATGGGACCGAGTGCTAGTTAAGAAAGGTTTAACCACCCTGAGGTGGCTGGAGTGACCCCAGGACACCTTTTTCTTCCAGCCCTGACCTCATCAATGCTCTTCCAATGAACCTCAGCCCAGTAGAGGCTCTGGTGCTGGACTTCCGTGCTGGTGGCTGGTGGTCCAGCTTTGGGGACCTCTCTCCTTCCCTCACTGCAGTACTCTTAGCTGCCTTCAGACCACGGTGCTGCCTGCAGACTATGGCTCTGCCGGGCAAAAAGCTGCTGCAGGGGATGTCCCAAGCCAGGGTGACGCACTCCCGCAGAGGGAGAGGTAGCCATTTCTGTTCTCCAGATGGGCATTGGTGGGACGGTTAAACATCCTTGGGACATTTTCTCTCTTAAAGCTGAAGTTAGTGGCTCAGGAAAAGATGAAGTCATTGCAGAGCAACTATATTTAGAGGCAGCCAACAGCGCTGAGAGCTTTTCTTCCTTTGTGTTGCGTTGCAATAATGCTGCCCGCACCAGCGGGGCAGCGCAGAGGTCACCATGAAAGAGTTTGTCCTGCTTTCCAGAGGGCTGGGGGATGCCTCGTAAAAGCCATAAGCCAGCATGGCTTGGTTGGACTTGATGATCTTGGAGGTCTTTTCCAACCTTAATGATTCTATGATTCTATGGCTCTTGGCCATTGACCGAGGAGACCTGGAACTGATGTGTCCTTGGGAGCTGAGCTGTCTTGGGTTTGGGCAGTCACCTTGGCAGGGTTGTGGGCAGTGTGTCCCATCTGTAGGCTGTTCCTGGAGGGGAAAGAGGAATTTTTGGGGCTGAGCTGGTCCCTGTGCCAGCCTGAGCGAGAGCGTGAACTCTCAGGGAGTGGAGACAGATGGAGGCGAGTCAGGCCATGTCAGCAGGATGGACCTCTCATCCCCTTGGAGAGTTGCAAGTGCTCGTGATGCCTGGCAGGCAAGTTTCCCATGCTGCAGCCGTCGGTGTTAGCCGAAGGAGAGGTGGGCACTGGAAAGTGCAATGGGGCAGCTGGGGATGCACCTTTTGGCCCCTCGTCGCTGGGGAGGTTATTAATTATACGCCCACATGGGCCAAGGCATGCCCAGGGAAAACAAAATGTTCCCATTCTCCTCTGAAATGAAACCGCACAAAATAAATCTGCCGCGGGTGACAGTTTTCATACATTTGGCAGCAAGATGGGAAGCTTCTGGACAGAGCTTGGCCATGTGGCTGTCACAGCTGATGGCAGCTTGCAGATGCCCTGCCCTGAGCCCCGTAGTGATGTTACTGGTTTGGCTGTGTGGCCCTACACAGCTTGAGGCATTTTGGGAAAATGCATACAGCTCTTCCCTGAGCATCCTCTTCACCTGGTTCAGCTGCACCATGATCCTGCTGCGCACCCAAGAGTACCAGACTCAAATTTAGTGATGTCCTTCAGAGCCGCCACATCCAGGTTCAATCAAAACGTGTTGGTTGCGGGAGGACAGGTCACACACTTGACCATGTGAGCAGCGTGGTTGTACTCAGCCAGTGAAGGGACATCAGGAACACTTGAAAGACACCTCTTTGGTCTGGAGCCCCTGCCTGAGGGCTGCTGGGCTGGGGTTAGCGGTCTGGGAGTGAAAATCATAGAACAGTTTGGGTTGGAAGGGACCTTTAAAAGATCATTTAGTCCAACCCCCCCTGCCATGGCTATCTTTCACTAGACCAGGTTGCTCATGGCACACCGTCATCCACCACTCCGTTTTGATGAAGTCCGTGGCACACGTTGATCATGTTTAGTGGTGGGACCACTGGGGGTTAGGTTCTCATGCAGTCCCCCAGCTGCGTAAGAGGGGCTGTGTAATTCGGATTTGTGAAAGAGGTTATATGAACCTCTGATTTCAGTGGGGTCTGTGGGCTGAGGCATGAGAGAATCAGTGCATTTAGGGAAAAACAATCAACAGGAGAGCGGCCGGTCAGCGGCTGAAGTAAGACTTGATCTTGCAGGGGAGAAAATGGCAGTGCACAGAGCTGGGAATAACTTGTAGCTCAGGAAGTTGTAGCGTATCTCAAAGGGATTTTTCTTTTTTCCCTTAACGTGCTCTGGCACCGCTCAGACAGTGTGCATGCAGCTAGCGTTTTCTGGAGGCAAGCAGTTGCAGACGAAGCATTAGAAGGTCTCTTGTGCAGGTGGCTTGCGTGTTACCCCAAGGGCCATTCACTGCTTTCACACCCCAAACGTCACCCCATGAACAGGTAGGGGCTTTGCGACTCAGTGTCCGGAGTGGGGAGGAAGGGCATGTTGGGCGAGGAAGAACGGGGGAAAGCTCTCCTTGTCCTGAAACCTGGGTCAGTCCTTTCTGCTGTGGTGGCAAACCGGTAGATTAAAGCTCACTCGCAGGGGTCTGATGGAGCCTCGCTTTCTCCGCAGCAGGAGGTGGTGCTGACATGCAGCTCAGGGCGGTGGGACAGATCTGTGACTTGTGACCCTGTCGACTGCGGTGTCCCTGACCAGTCCCACGTGTACTACGCAGAGTTCTCCTGCCCCAAGGGGACCACCTACCTGCAGAGATGTTCCTTCTCCTGCATCCACCCAGCCAAGCTTCAAGGTACGGTCTGGAGTGCTGAGGGATTTAAATCTCCTTGTTTGGTGCCACCTTTTCATGCCTGTCCCAAGCTGTTCAAACAGAGCATCGCGACTTCAAATTTCCCAGTTATCCTGGCTTCTCCCAGCCAGGTGGGCTCTCGAGAGACCTCCTGAAATGGTGGGCATCCATCCCCCTTGAGCGGGGACACCATAGTGTGGGGATAATTCCCTCTGACTCCCATCGCCTGACTGGCAGCCCTTATCTATCCACCTGAGGGCATAGGGATGTCTTCTCCTGATAGCTGATGAGGTCTGGCAGCCTCCAGCATTTCGGGGACGAGGGAGGCAAGAAGCGTGCAGGCAGCCAGCGCGGACAGACAGGACTTCAGAGAGCTAAAAGTGGCTGGGTGCCTGGTGGCTGTGGAGAAGTGTGTGGCTCAGGAGTCCTGGGGCTGTATAAAGCCGTAGAGGCTGATGCCCACAGCTGCAGAGCAGTCTGGGAGATGTTCACCACCCAAACACACAGCAGTCCCCCAGACGTGCCATGGCCTGGCTTTCATTCTGCCGACTCCATCAATAGCCGCAGGAATGTTTTTAAGCCAAGTCGGAGAAAGAGAGCTACTGTTCCTGTCTCTACAAGGCTGAGCTGGATGGGGTTTCAGGGGTAATTGCCTTGACAGCTTCAAGCATTGGGACTTTATGTGAGTTTCCACCAACGCCTTTGCTCTGAACAATCACATACAACAAATCATTTTAATGGGTGCCCTATTTTATGGAGACATTTATAGCTGAAACGTATGAAAATAATTTACTTTTTTTTTTTTTTAAAGTTAAACCTAAGGAGCAAAAACTGCAGGGAATTAAGGTCTCATTTCATGACAGGGGGCATGCCGGCAGATCCCCAGCGTGAGCTGATCAAAGGGTAGCGTGCGAACGACGACTCGACAGCCCAAATTCTGCGCGAACCGATGCCCGTTGCCTTGGGCGGGTCAGCTGAGGGCAAGGTTTTAACCTGATCTTTCACTCACAGCCACCTCTTGTTCCCGCTGAAGTCAACTGGAGGTTTGCCATGGGCTCCCTTGGTGGGAAGGCTCCTTGATGGAGCGCCCTGGGTGACTTCCAGCGGCTGACGTGGTGCTCAGCCAAGGCTGCCGAGCCACGCAGGTAAATTCGCAGAGGTCCAGCCGACTCGGCTGAGCTGTCGAGGCAGGGACGTGCCTGATGCTTGTTCTCCCCGAAGGCTCGCATCCTTACGGGCAGGCTCTCAAGGCTAATAAATGCTAAGAATAGGCAAGGGAAGGATGACACGGCTGCAACGGCGCTCGGAGGCGGGTGGCGGACCTCAGCAGTGCCGGCCTGCCGGGAATGCAGGCACTATGCGGAGGCATGGTCTTGTCCCTGGTCCAAGAGCAGTTGTAGGCAGAGCAGCGATCCCACAAAAAGAAAGCGATGCTCGAAGGGAGTGTGGAGCAGTCTTGCCGCACCAGGAACCTGCTGATCCAAACCCCTCTGTAGGAAGAGTCCCGTTCACTCCAGTCCAGCTTCTTCTTGCTCAGCAGTTCCCAGTGAACCCTCCATCATCCACACCATGGGGGTGATGCAGTCCTGGACACTTACCGCAGGCACCCAGAGCTGTGCAGTTTCGGCCACCCGTTAGCCGGGTCTACCAAACCCCCTTTTTTCTAGAGGGACAACAGAGAGTTGGGCTGTAACACTCAACCTAAGCTTTTAGTAATAGGTGGTTTGAATTCCCAGTCACACCAGTTAAGGCTCCAACATCTGTCCTGCTGGCACTTTCCAACTTGCGGTGCACGTGTAGCACAGGGTATGACAGCTTGTAAGGGAAGGTAAGGACAAGCTGCAAAAAGCACCTGGGGAGAATGGAGATGGGCTGAGCTAAATATGACAGATAGCTGTCATACACAAAACCCCCCAGCCCACTCAAGGCTCTCCTGAGACGTCACCAGAGAAGGGAAGTTTAAGGGAAAGTTTTGGGGAGATTTGCAGAACCAAGATCCTTTGTCCGTTCCCTAGAAGTTGTCCCTTCCCTGCTTCTGTCTGCATTCAAGGAATTTGGTTTCTGCCCCAGCCTGACCAACCATGCAACAGGGTCCATGGTCTTCATATTTGTTGCCTCCCTTGGCATCAGTATCTGCTCTAACGAGAGGACTTTTGCTGGTTGCTCTGAGCTTCCCTCAGCAGGACTCCATCCCCCAGTCAGCTGTAACCCCAACACACTGCTTCTCTTTTGGGGTCAGGAACAAACCAGTGGCTGACCTGCCTGGAGGACGGTCTCTGGTCGCTCCCCGAAGCCTACTGCAAGCTGGAGTGTGACGCGCCTCCCGCGGTGGCCAACGCCAAGCTCCTGGTCCCGCGGTGCCTGCAGGGGAACCACGACGTGGGCTCGATCTGTCGCTACAAGTGCAAGCCTGGATACCACGTGGCCGAGAACGCAGCGGGCAAGCCTAAGAAGTAAGTCTGTGGTGGGTCTGATATCACTATTTCCTTCCTCCTCTTCTCCCAACGTGAGCAAGGAGGAGAGGTGATGGAATGCTTGGCAGTCTCGAAGAGCTGATTTGATAGGTACAAAGCAGAGCAGCTTGCTCTGGTCATGCAGACTTCTTGAGATAATGAGAGGCATTCCCCTGGTTTAGGTGGGAACAAGATGCAAGCTGCTGTTGTATGCGTGTATACTTTAAGTGCCTTAACCTAAAGCATGCAAATTTTCCCGTGCATCCCAACGTACTTGCCAGTTGCTGAAAATTAAGCGTGTACAAAGTGTTTGTGGACTCTCGGGTAATTAGATGTAATAAGATGCTGGAAGATTCCTGGAGCTGCTGTCTTTCCTACAAGTGATAAAACATAGATCAAGGCATCGGGGCTGTAAGAATGAATGACTGCCTTTTGTCAGGGTTAACATTTTACCCCCTGCACGTCTTGGCTAAATTTAATCTCAAGCATTGGCATTTCAATTGGAGAAGGTTTTTCCCGATGCTTCAGGGGAAAAATTCCCGGTGACTCACTAGCCCTGCGCTCAGCCAGTGTCGTGACGCTGGGGGGTAAAGCAGCATTTTGTCTGTGATGCCTCCAGCTGAAGTCCCTGTTGGGTATGGTCACTAAAGATTCTCTGGCGCTGGCCGGGTCCTCCCCGGAGTCTTGATGCTAGCCCAAATCGGGTAATTATGTGCTAATTGTTTAATGCCCCCTTCCAGTTTTAATTGGATGCAGACTTCATCTCTACTTTGCTCTGGGGTAGGGTTGTTGTGCACTGGGAAGCAGTTGCCAAATTTCTTGCCTCGTAATGAAGGAAGTGGTTTCTGTAAACAGCTTTTCGCAGTGTTAGGAGCATTTCTTGGGCCAAGGGGAGCTAAGCAAATTATGATTATGGCTACAATCACATGGACTGCTTTGCAAACTGCAGAGCAGCTTGCATGCCTGTGGCATTTCAGGCACTGGATGTGCAATCAGATCAACGCAGCTTGCAAAGTTAGGCCATCTCAGTCATGCTGCAGCAACTGCTGGTAAGAAGGATGCCCTCCGGGAGCTCCCGAGGCTCCTCCGTGTGTGTGTAACATCCCTATGGGTCTGAACAGCCTGTGAGACAAGTCAAGGAAAATCATGCAAAGTGGTTTACGTTTTCATAGCCGTGCATGTTGACATAGCGTTTTCACATTTGCTATTATCATTACGACTAATTCGTCTAACATCTTTGATGGTAGAGCAAGATCCTGTTAGGTAGGCAAAAAAACATTAACAGAAGCAGAAACTTCAGTGTTTTCTTACCAGGCAGATTAATTGCCATGTGAGTGGCCTGACTCAAAGCAAAAGCCTTTCCTTGGAAGTGTGAACGCCGGCGTACCGTCCCATCTGGAGCTCTGCGTGTATACTCAGCACAAGTACAAACCCCTTGGCACATGTAGTGGGTAGCAGCTACTAGCCAGTAAGCGGGCCAGTCAGCTGCTGGGTTGCTGGAAATCCTTCTGGTCTTTCAGCCCTGTCAGGCAGAGGGTGGGAGCTGCCAGGGTGAGAGGTTGCTTTCTTTGTTCAGGCCAGTTTTGGAGAAAGCGAGTTGTTGGAGAAGGTGATGGAGAGCTCTGGAAGGGGCCAGGACTGGTGGGGTACAGGTTGTTGATGCGCTGGTGAGGGAGCAGGGTCTCAGCTGATGACTTGGACATCAGGTTTTGGGGTCTTCTGAAGTCTTCCTGGGTTCCTTCTGCGTTCAGCAAACTGAGTTCTTGATCTATTGTCTCCTCGTTGCCCATCAACCCAGCAAGCACCAGCCTTGGTAAAGGATTTAGTGTTGTACGGGTGTTGATGCGCATAAGAAAGCAAGATTCTTTACGTGTGCTAGATATTGGACAAAAGTCAGGCATGATCCACAGCTGAAGACTCCCCATGCCAGCTGACTAGCCCAACCTTGGAAATACAGTCAGGCTCCCTTTGAATTATTCTCCTAGCTCTAGCGGTCGTGCCTTTTTAGAGGGGAACGATGGAAGGAGTGTAACCCTCGACTGGCCTCACCAACAGCTATGGGGCTCAAACTGTTCTCCAGGGAAGGCGTAGAGGTATCTTTTGATGTCTGTGGGTTCCCAGGGGATCAGCCCACTCTGCTACTATGTAAAAGACATGTTCATCTTCTCACAGCACTGTTATAAGAAGCTTGGTCATTTCCTTCAAGGGCTGCTTGTAGGCACGTTCCTTCAGAGATGGCTCTGGATCCCCCATGGACAGGGACAGTTAAGCTGTAATGTGAGCAAGCAGGAACCCAACCCAGCCAGGGCTGGGCGTCACCTCCTGACTAGCTGCTTTTTTCATCAGCCTTCTGCAGTGCATTCCTCTCTCATGCACCTCGTAAAACACCGTGGCTGCTACAGCTGGACTGGGTACCCAGCCCCTGGGCTTTGCTCTTCACGTGGTAGGGCTACGGTGCCCACCTTATGCAGGCCTGAGCCGTGGCTGGGATCCAGCTGCCTGTGTCCAAGATGAGATGCTCTTGGACACAGATGCTCGTATGATTCCCTCACTTCTGTTTCCTTAGTCGAATTTTGCTGCAGGGGCAGTAAGGTTACTTAGAAGGCTCCTGCAGTCTTAGTTGAAATTCATTTCCCGTAGCATAAGTGGAAGAGAAAGGGGATAAAAAATTCTGTTGTCTCGGAGAAGATGCTTTTATCTATTAACCTGAGTGAGGAAAGGCCCTTCAGAAATCACTGCTTGTCAACAAGGGATCCGCAAGGAAATGTTGGTTGTGTAATCAAGATCCTGCCAGAGATTTGCTGCCTTTCTGCTGGCAGGATCATCTGACTGACGATGCTGACATGAAGGGTAAATCTTCTTTGACTCTTCCTAAAGGAAATCTGTTTTCAGCATGGAGAGCCCACATAACAGCCTGGTTTCCAGCTGCCAAGCTATTTCGCATCTAACCCCAAAATGACGGTAACAAGGGGAACTTAACACGTGTATTCGTGCTTTGTGATGGGAATTCTCTGGTTTATGGGCAGCATTTGTCCAATGGCAGCACCAACCCACCCACCTGAATCGCACAGAGCAATGAACTGCCAGGGAGCAATGTTTGGCATCCTCCAGGGCTGTAGCGTTGAAAAGAGCCAGCCTGAAAGTCAGAGGTCAGATACTTCGGGGAAAATGGGCATCACCCCCGCAGTGGTCCCTGCTGTTGTTTCCACCACAAAATGCCATCTGGAGCAGCTCTCCAGTAGGAATATCTAGGACATCCTTTAGAGGAGCACTCTAATTGCTGGGGGGATGCTCTCAGTTTGGGGACAAAAAAGGTCAGTCCCTGCAGAATGGTTGTTTCACTTGCCCAATGCGGGCTGATTCCTTGGAGAGAAGAGATTTTTGGGATCTCAGACCAACTTTTGTGAGAGGTTGGGCCCCTTCTGCTAGCTTGAGGGAATGAAGCAAAGAAGAAGCGGGCACCCAGGTCTTTTCAGGCAGCTTTGAAAGTCTCAGCCTGCATTTTGACCAGAGATCAAGGCAGCCACGAGACAGTCCAGCCCCCTGATGAGCTTCCATGGAGATGTCAGCCTCTCTGCCTCCTCTTCCCCATCCAAAGGCTACGGAGACCATGAAAGAGGGAGAGGAGGCGGGAGAACATGGAAGAGAAAATGGACTGAAAGGAGTTAGCAGACCGGGGGCTGGAAACGTATCGGAAAGATCACAGCAGGCAAAGCAAGACAGCCTAACCCAGGAGCATCGGAGTTTAGCAGCGCACGGGGCCACTGGACGTCTGTGGTGGGTGCAAAGGCGTGGGGTGCTCGCTGCTTCTGCCCACGTCTGGTCCCTTCCAGAGAAAAGGCAAACACCCGCGCAGCTGAGGGAGCCAAGCAGCCAGGTAAAGAAAACACAGGCTGTCAACTGGACTCCTGTGTCATTTCCACCTCTAAGGTCTCTGAAGATTTACAGCCCAGGTTGCCCATGCTGTTTGGAGCCCAGCAGCGGAGGTCCTGCAAAGCTGATGTTGCTTTCTTTCAATTTACCAGCAAATCTCCCTGCTTCTCCCCTACTCTTTTTGAAGCTGTCAGTCTCCAGCTATGGGAGATGAGGCTTTAGGATCATTTATTACCATTCCTGTACGGCAGACCCAGTTCCCCCAAGCTGGCCACC